AATGTAAACTATATCTACATTTCTGCTGGAAAAGTAATTATGTGAGGTTGATAAAGAAAATTTTACAAAATTTAGTAAAGAGAGAATATTTCCTTAGTAAATATTAAAGGACAGCATGAAAGACCACTCTTTTGCTATGTTCCATTTGGAAAAAAAAAAAAAAAAGGTAAGACATGACACACTGTCAGGCTGAAAAACTAAACACTTTTTTAAAAATAAGGGAAGGATAACTGTTATTACAATCATTCTCCCTAACACCTCTCAGGCATTCTAAGATGTCTATTCTTGGAACACTCAGAAGCACATACTACTTCAGGTTCCTTCATGTCCTACTTCACGTCACCAGAAACAACTGCTACTCTTAAATTTCTCCCCTTAAATGTCAGTGGGGTCCAGCCTGGACATTTCTAGTCTGGAACTTCCATCCCCATTATAGGCCTTTTGCCTGCTCACTCTCCCTTCAAAATAGATCCTTTGGATTCTTGCTAATTCTATGCAGTTAAAAAGCACATGATACAGAGCATGGAAGCTCTCAAATCCTCCTGAAGGAGCTGGAGACCTACTTCTCCAGCTTGTAGATGGAAAAGAAGAGGTACAGAAAAAGGACATCAAAAAACAGTAAGTTGAAGATTGAAATAACAATTATAGTCAAGGGTTCCTTTGTCTTTCTCTTTGTTCGTCTAGATAGGAGTCCTCCAACTTGGCTTATTATGAGAATCACCAAAGAAGTTTCTTAATAATATTAAAGCCTCAGTTCCAGACTTGAATACTGATTCAGTAGGTCTAGATAGGGCCCAGAATTTACATTTTAAAAGAGCACTCCTGAGGATTCTGAGTCACTGCCAGGTTTGAGAAATCACTGCTCTACTGAAGGAATAGGAGAGTTTTTGGTGGTTTAAATTAAAGCTATAATTATAAAAGGCTATACCCTAAAACAAAAGTCCATAATAACAGAAAGCTCAAAAAGGACTATAATGGTCACAGGTCCCTACCTTTTTGATGAGCAAGTCAACAGGAGTCAGACACTCAGGAGTGTTGTTTCGAGAATTGTTTACCACAGAGGAGACTGGATGGAAGGTGATGTTCTCTGTAGGATGGATTAATTTCAAAGCTTCTTGAGTTGACACCTCACCAAAGTTAAGCCATTTAGACACTGCGTCATCTCCATCTAATATGGCAGGCATCCTAGCCAGGGCAGAATTGTTTGGGAGAGGTGTGTGAACACAAGGAGAGAAAGAAGACAGACATGAGATTATGAATTACTGAAATCATCACAAGGGAAATCTGACTTCCTTTGTGCATCACAGGCTGACTGCTGCCATGGAGGCACCCTGAGCACAACCTGACAGGGCACCAAATCCAAACCCCACGAAAGCCAGTTTCATGGCAAATAGTGAATAGTGCTATGACTAGAGCCCAGTGCATTCCAGCATACACTCCAGCAAACTGGTGAACTTTTTATGATGCCCTCACTCACTCTCACTCACTCATTGCCATCAAGTCAGATCCGACTCACAGTGACCCCTCCCTGGGTTTCCAAAGTGGTATCACTACGGAAGTAGATTACCCAAAACTTCCTTCCAAGAAGTGGCTGGTGGGTTTGAACCAACAGCCTTCTGGTTAGCAGTCAGATGCCTTAGGCACTATGCCACCAGAGTTCCCTAGTCTGCAATAAAATAGATGGTGAAAAATATGTCTATCAATATCCAGATTCACCACTTGAGGAAGACTTACAGTAACAAAGAGCTATTCACATAATTGTGAACAAAGGGAACCATGCCTCAGAAAAGCAGAGGCTGTCTAAGACAACTCCTGGTACTCAGGAAGATATTAGGAAAGGATCCTATGGAAAGTATGGTATACACTTCATTAGTGAATGGTTCCACTGATTTTAGGAGATATATGCATCAACTTCTACTTTAATATTGTAATTTAAAGACTGTCGTTTCATCAAAGCAAACAAGTACTTTAAAGACTAAAAATCTCTGAAATCCAGATACATCTTATGATGAATGGCATTTTTGCACTGTATTATGTATTTCGTTGGCGGTAACTGGCAGCAGTTTACCTTTCTTAGCATGTAAAATAATGGTACCTTTTTAAACCAGTGGTGTTTTAGATTAGATGACTTATGTATTGGACTGAAGTTTCAATTTTCATGAAACAGTATCTATTACAAACGTATGTCTCAAAGAAACTAAATTTCAAAGGTAGAAAAAAATATGTCCCAGGATTTAAGATGGCAAAAAATGACAAATTTTGATAACCCTCCTTCTACTGTTTCAAAATTACTTATGAGCTGCAACCCTTCTGACAGCCACTTCCACAAGCAAACTTCAGGTGTTTTTCAAGGTAAAGTGCCATATTTACGGCAGTATTTTTTTATTTCTTAACCACTCAACATGTATAAAAATTGTGCTACAGTTTTTATTAAGTTCCTAATATTTTTTATGGTGTTGGTGAAGGATATTGAATATACCATGGACTGCCAGAAGAACAAACAAATCTGTTTTCAAAGAAGTACAGTTAGAATGCTCTTCAGAAGTGAGGATGGCTAAGACTTTGTCTCTCATACTTCGGTTGTATTATCAAGAAAAGGACATTATAATGGAGAAGGATATCATGCTTAGTAAAGTAGAGGGTCAGCAAGAAAAGGGAAGATTCTTAATGAGATGGACTGACACAGTGGCTGCTACAAATATGGGCTCAAACATAGCAACAACTGTGAGGATGGTGCAGGACCAGACAGTATTTTGTTCTGTTGTACAGAGTTACTATGAGTTGAAACCTACTCAACGGCACCTAACCACAATAACAACATTATTTTTTTGGATATATCACTGACAAAGTTTTTAAGTGTTATGCCCATCACTTCATTTTTCCCATAAGCTGTGTTGTTGTTTTTACTTATTTAAACCTCTTTTTTTTTTTTTGCACACTTTTGCACAGTCCAGTGATTTTTAGGAATACATGTTATATATTATAGCACAAATGACTATAATTGTATTTTGTGAAGCAACTTTCTTAGTTTTCTACTCTCTAAATTTATGCATAAAGAAACTTTGAATTTCAAAAGCTACCTATTTAAAAGCAAAGAGAGTAAACTCCCCTCTGAATCCTTTTGGACTAAGGAATAGCAGTGTGACTTGCCTGTGGTGGATGTCATTCAGGCCTTTGCTGGAATCCACTGTGATGATAGTATAGGAATACAGGATATCGCCCCCCTTTGGTTGCTCCCAGCAGTCAAAGATCCCGGCCATTGTCAGTGGTCTCCAGTTGTCCCATACCTTCTCCCACTCCTCAGGACTATACGTGGCACCAATACTGCCTGCCTAGGGGAAAAACAAATGGGCAAATTAGATACTCAGCAGCCTCTTCTACACACAGATTAGGCTCCACTGACAGGCTAGGAGCATGGTAATTCATTTTAGAAGTAATTCAGCCCATACTTTATTAACCCTTCTTGATCACCAAAGAAAAGAGACTTGGTGGCAAGTTGCTACCCAAACTAAGATTTATGGATCCTCTGTACTTTCAGAATAAAATTTAATACCTTCATTGGGCATTCAGGTCCTTCCATGACCTAGAGTCCACTATTCCTCTCACAATGTTAATTTGAAAGAATGAAACATTGTCTGGTCTTACACCATCCTCACAATTGTTGCTACTTGGAGCCCACTGTTGTAGCCACTTGTGTCAGTCCATCTCATTGAGATTCTTCCCATTTTTTGCTGACCCCCTACTTTCCCAGGCATGATATCCTTCATTATAATATGTCCTTCTCTTGATAATACAACTTTCACTCACAATGTTAACTTGACCCCAAACCACCCCAAACCAGCTGTTTTTAAATTAAGCTCTCAAGCAATTTCATGGCCCTGTGTCTTGCCAGAGTACCTTCCTCTGCTCAAAATGTCATTCCATGCTTTTCTCCACCATGTCAACTCTTACCTGTCATTTAAGATTTAGTTCAGGGCCTAGAATATAGAAAGCTGGAAAGATTCTCATTCCTACCCTAGCAACAAAAAAAGCCATGATCATCTATAAAGTCACAACTTTTGTTGAACTTTTCAAAGAACTGAGAGCACAGGGTAACCAACTAGCCTGAAAGACAGGGGTCTCCAAGGAGACATGGGACACTGGCTTACCTGTGACAAAAGGAAGAAGACAGGGACTCTGAACAAGCAGATGAGAATCCAGACAAAATTATTACATTGCCAAAAGCTGTGTGGGCTAATATGGGAGTACAGAACCCTTGGGAACTGCAGCCATCAGGGGAGTGTGAATAAGACCTCCATAGACCTCCCTGAGTGCTCACAAGAAAGACTAGGGACAGGAGACTGCAGAAAGCCTGTCTTGGTGGTACATGCCTAGTGGAAGGGAGCTTCTCTGCAGTGGGAAAAGTATGACGTCTCACCTGATCACTTCTCCTCCAAAGAACAAAAGCCTTAAGCTGCCAAGTGAAGGGAAATAAGCCCTACTGCCCCTAAGATACAGGTAAAGAGCCACTAGAGTGGGAGAAGGATAAAAGAAAAACAATTCTACTACACTGGAGGAGAAGCAGGGTCACTGAACCACAGGGACAAAAGATGACCTAAGACTGAGTCTGAACCAAGACAGTTGAGAACTCTTTTCCTCCACCTCCAGCTTTCAGATTATAAAGCACTAAATAACAAGTAATACCAGTCTACTGCTATGGAGAGCTAAGAGCATGAGGAGACACTCTAAGATGCAAGCTCACAGAAAAAACCCGTACCTGAGTGGTCCAGGACTACTGAGAAAAATTCTCTGGAAAAAATCAACCCTCACTCTAAAATAAGGTTACATCAGAGAAACTGAAAGCCTGTGGTGAACAAAGGCAACTATAAAAACAACAAAACCCAAGCCCAGTTCAATTCCTGACTAAACAGATTCAACCTCCCATATTAATGGCCTGTTAGAAGAGTAAGTGTGCCTATCTCCAGACATAAATATTATTGATCTCAGGTTCTGTCTACAAACTATGCTTGGCAATAAATCAAAACTTAGGAGATATACAAAAATGCCAGAAAAAACAACCAAATGCTAAAAAATATGACAATCAACAGAACCAGATATGTATTTCCTAGACACTGAAATTATATGATCAATACTGTTAAAGGCTTTTATGGAAAAGTTAGACAATATGCGTAAGCAGGTAGAGAATTTCAGCAGAGAGATGGAAACTATAAGAAAGAATTAATCTGATGCCCACTCTTACCATTTCTATTTAATACTATATTAGAAGTCCTAGCTACAGTAATAACACTAAATAAATAAAAAGCATCCAGTTTGGAAAGAGGTAGAATTATCTCTATTCACAGATGACAAGATCCTATATATAGAAAATGCCAGAATCCACAAGAAAACTTCCAAACCAATAGAGGAATTTAGCACTGTTGCAGGGCACAAGGCTAACAACAAATGAAAATCTGTTGAGTTTCTATACACCAGCAATGAGAAATTGGAAAGGAAAATTAGGGAAGTGATTCTATTTACAATAGTACCTAAGAGAATAAAATATCTAGGAATAAATGTAACCAAGGATGTGAAGGACTTAAACAATGAAAATCCTAAAATCCTGCTGAAAGACATTAAAGAACACTTAAATAAATGGAAAAAGTTTCATGTTCATGGAAAAGAAGACAATATTATTTAAGATGTCAATACTACCCAAAGTGAACTATATAGATGCTATGTAGTCATTATCAAAATTCCAGGATATTTCTTTATAGAAATGGAAAAACCAATCCACAACTCTACATGGAATGGCAAGAGGCTCCAAATAGTTCAAGCAATGTTGAAAGAGAATAACAAAGTAAGTAGACTCATACTTCCTGATTTTAAAACATATTATATAGAGATAGTAATCAAACTAGCCTAGTACTGGTATAGCAATAGAAATAAATTGAAAGTCCAGAAATAAACACATATCTACAGTCAAATGGTATTTTTTAATGCATTTCATTGAAATATAATTTATGTACAGTGAAATGCACAAAACTAAAGTGACGACATTAGTCAATGAATTTTTTTTTTTTTTTTTTGCATTGTTCCCTCCCCTCCTCTTCC